TGAACTTTTGGATTTGCAAAAACAAAAATACTAATGTGATTCTTGAGACAGTCTTCCATCTTTGGTAATCTTATAAAAGTACCAGTATCTGGTGCCCCCTGGAACACATATTTCCTTAGTACAAATTGTAGCACTACTTCTGATTAGGAGTGCCAGCATGGCAGGATAAAGATGTACAGCCCTGGTTCCTTTCAATGCTGCCCATGCTAATACCAGCAGCTGGTAATTCTGTGGCGTTGGCATTGAAGCTGAGGGTATTGAATCTTACAGTGTCTTTGGCATCAAAATAGCTAGGCTTCTCCCACCAGACAGAAGCATGCTACATGGATAGGACCCAGAATCCCTTGGAAGGGAGACTTAGGTGATTCATGTTCTCCCTCCTCAGCTCTGAGGGAGTGTGCTGGTGCCTGATGTCTCTTTGGCACCGGAACAGCTCTGGGAGAGGCAAGCTTTGCTGTAGTCAAAGTGGGGGACTGTGAGTGGCACAAAGCAGATCAAGTCCCTTGCACTGTTATTGGTGGTAAGGAACATAGGTACAGAGTCCCAGATCACCAGAGCACTGAGGGATCTGGGTACCTTAGTTAAAGATCACTCATCACAATTTGGATTCCTGGTAATCTGAATCTCAAGTCACTTTCATGGACAGCACTAAGAACATAAGAACAGATTGATGTGGCAGCCCTGGATTTTTGGATTCTGCTGGAAATGGATATCCCATCTGTCAAAGTTGTGACTTTTTCAGAGATCAGGTAACTTATGTGGTCATCAGTGATTAACACAAGGCCACTCTAGGGGGTTAAAACCCAAAGCTTCTGCCTCATTAAGAAGTTGGAAAACAGCTAGCTTTGGGCCAACTGTTCAGTCAAATGCAAGACAGAGAAAACTGCCAAGGTGGCAGACAGCTACCCTGGACTATTAATGACAAGAAAGTTCACTAATTTAGACTGACAAGAGTGATTCACAGGGGAGAATGTGTCAGGAGAGGAGCTTGTTATAGCGAGTGGGACAAATAGTGATGCTTTGGCTTGCTGCTGTGAGCGGTAAGGAATCAAGTGGCACCTGGGATTTGGCACCTGTATATCCTCAGGTGGGAGCCACTAAGACACTCAAGTCCCATGGGTAGCCCCAAAAGACACTGATGACCAGACATGCATATCATACCACTTGGACAATACTCAAAAAACATTATACTTAAAAAACAAACACCACTCACCAAGACTCTTTCACTCATGTTCTGTCCAAATACAAATTTGTTGCTGGAAGCATCTGCATTGTTTGTTGAGTTCTCTAAACTGGAGAGAAATGCACTCATTAATTTACTACAAACAGACGTTTCCATAATCACTAAAATTTCAACAGAAGAATTATAATTGGTCTGAACTTCATTTTTTTGTTAAATTAAACGATGTAAAAAGAGTATATTTGATTAATTAGGACAGTGGTCTCCAACCTTTTTACACCCAAGATCACATTTTAAATGACAGACCAAGCCAAGATCTACTGCCCCGCCCCTTCCTTGAAGCCCCACCCCTTCCTTGAAGCTCAGTCCTCTCTATTCTCCTCCTCTCCATCACTTGCTATCCCCAATCCTTATACTGCTGCTTTAAAAAAAAAAAAATCTTCTGTAGGAAGAGTTTTTTCCAACATTTGGCCTGTCTAGACTGGACCAAATGTCAGAAAAAAAAACCCTTCTTTTGGAAGCCACCTTATTCCTTGTGGAAAGAGGAATATAGGGGTGACCAAAAGAGCCTGTTTGCTCTTCCACTAAAAAAGCGGAAGAACAAACGCAACCCTGGATGCAGAAGAGTTTTTCTGGGATATCTCCAGAATCCTGAAAAACTCCTGCAGTCTAGCTAGACCCTTGCTGTGTTGAGACAGGATGTGTAGTCTCTGGGGTGGGAATGAGGGATTTGGGTGTGGAAAGGGGTGAGGTGCAAGCTCTGGGAGGAAATCTGGATGCAGGAGGAGGTGGAGAAGGGGACACTGGCTTGGGGAGGAGACTCCAGGCTGGGCAGTGTGGGGATACTAAGAAAGCCACAGGCTTGCAGATGTGAGGGTGCAGGAATTTGGGTTGGGGTATGTGAGGGGCTAAGGGCAGGGGGTTCCAGTGTTTGATAGGCTCAGATCTAGGGTCTGGGAAAGGGGGAATGCAGGAGTGGTTGTGGCCAGATGGGGGCTTGGCCCCAATTGGGGGTTTGTTGGCCAGGCTTCATTTTTAAATGAAATACTATGTTAAACACAAAAAGATTCTGCATTGTCTTTATTTATGAGAATGGCAGGAAACCTGCCTTGAGTCAGGGGTCACTGACCCATAGAAAAGTCATTTGGGAGCAGGGGACACAGTACTGGGGAGGGGTGCTAGTGGGTTCTGGGGTAGAGAACAGGGTGCCAGTGGTGGCAGGGGAAAGGGGGTAGGGTGCCAGGACAGGGTGCTGGGGGGGGACAGGTTTCTGTAGTAGGAGACATGGTACCAGAAGGAACTGGTTTCTGCAGAGGGAGGGCATGGTGCCAGGGAACAAGTTTCTGCAGAGGGAGGGCAAGGGAGAAGGAACGGGGGGCCAGGAGAGCGGGGGACAAGTTTGGGGCAGAGGAGAGGGAACACGGTTGGGGGCAGGGAGATCCCTACACCAGCCACAGAGGAAAGCCTCCAACCCGCGCTCCCTCCGGATTGACCGCAGGGCAGCCGGGCTGGAGCGAAGAAAAGCGGCTGCCCAGCCAGCTGGCCATGGTGCTCAGCCAGGGTGCCACCAAGCTCCACATGGGCAGGCGCAGAGGGGAAGCCGCTGATCAGCTGGAGCGCAGGGCAGACTCTTTCAGCTGAAAGCCACAGTCAGCTGGCTGGGGTGTTTCAGCCCTCCTAACCTCCCAGCTCCCACCATTCCTCGCAGATGCGCACCTGTATTGTTGCTCGGTGAGTAGCTGCTCCTCAAATGAGGAAATCTAATGTAAATGTACTGCGCAGGCTCGCAGTTCAGAGAGGGCTCAAGAGCTACTCTTAGAGCCCCTGAGATCTACCGGTAGTTCGCGATCTACTGGTTGGTGACCATGGATTTAGGATGTAACAATGCAGTGAGCAATGCAGTGAGCAATGCAGCAATAACTGATTTATGACAAACTCTACATCCTAGAAAAAAATATTTTCTGATAATTGGAGATTTTCTCTGAGTACTAGCCTCTGAAATGTTTAAACTGTAGTCTAAGAAATCTAATCACCACCAAATGTATCCTAAGAGTTTATCCAATATCAAAAGGTCTAATAAGGTGCTTAATGCACCACTAAATTCACAGTCCATTCTGGTCAATTTAATGATCCTAGATTTTAAAAATCATAAGTTTCATGATTTCAAATATTTAAATCTGAAATTTCACATTGTTATAAATGCAGGGGTCCTGACCCAAAAAGAGATTGTGAGAGAAAGGTAACTGCAACATTATTGTGTTTGTGTGATGGAGAATCCACAACCTCCAAGTTGTTCAATTAATAGTTGGAAATAAGATGCACATTTTTCTCTAACCTGAATTTGTGTAATTCCTTCCTTCTAATTCCTTCTTCATTTATTAAAAAAACACTACCAATTAACTCGGGCTCCTTATCAACCACCCACCTAAGTCTTAGGTCACACATTGTTTTGGAATTAACAGCTAAACTCAAGGGATGAAAGTGGTCTAGTTGTTAGCTGTCATTGGGCAATCAGATCCTTGCAGCCTGAACAGCTTTCTGAGTATGGATGATCCCTCAGTGGAGGAGTATCTTGGCAATATTTAGTGTCACATTCATTTCAAGCTCCCTGCCAACTCAGGCAGGCTGTATTTGTCACACTCCTCATCTTATAAAGCTATCCTATGTAATCATAACAACAATAGACTGTATTTTTTTTTAAACCAAAAAGCTACAAATCTGAAGAACAAGGTAGCAGCCTCAAAAAAGTGCTGAGTACCAACCCAATTCAAACAGAACCCTGCCTCTGGTAGAAAGCAAAACTACTACTAATGCTCAGCATGTAATACAATAAAGTAATCTGTTCTGAATTTACTTGCAGACTTACTTGGAACTGATGTACTGCAAAAAGTAGTTTGTTGCTGATGGTGCTTCAGAGCTGGGAAGCCCAGCATTCTGTACATCAGCGGATTCATCACTTTCATCTCCCAACTACAAAAGAGATTGACATTTATACACAATTAACAATAGCTAAATCAAGATCAGACCTTATTTTCTCAAAAAACATGCACATACATACTCATAACAATATGCTCATATATACACTCTTAACAATTAAGACCAAAGTGTATTCCCCATGACACAAATTCCTTGTTGCAAGCAGTGTCCCTGTATTGAATTCATATATCCCAAAGAACCAAGGACATCTTCAAGCAGTTCTGTATCTGCTTTGGAAATTGTACTGGTCTATACTCCAAACTCTTTTCTCTTTTCTGATCAAGTTTATGTTCTCTTTGGGCTGTGGAATTCCCTCTGTGGTTCTGGCCAATCTACCTCCTATCACGTTATATAGGAGCCATATGGTCCCACTGGCTTCACCCACCCTACGTGTCTGCATAAAACTTGTCTCTTGGGGTATTGATAACACCTGTTAATCTAATTCAATTAGCCTGTGTTTAGGCAGAAGCCTGCTTTGCCCTCCCTCCTCTCTTCTTGTCTGTGCAATGCCCTTGGGACCTGTACTGCAGGGATTTGGCATGCAGGGATGTCTGGAGGCTTGGTGGGAAAGGGAGCATATCATTTCCAATCCAGCAGTTCAGAAGAAACATCACACAGCACTCAATTCCCCAGACTTTATATGTATAACAGTAATGGGTATTTTTTGTTTTTTACAGGAATGGACTTCAAAATGTAGTACCACGAAAAACATTTTTTGCAAAGTGATCAACTTTACTGTGTACACAAATCCTGAATTTGCATATATACACATCAACGCTTAAGCACATGGTTATCACTTTTGTTTTTCAAATGCATTTTAGGTGGCTGCTTTAGAAAAAGAAGCTTTGCATATATATTCAAACAAAATGAACTCCTGATAGTTTTGAAAGCTGAAATAGGAAGCTAATATGAAATGCTTATGCTTAATTCTGTCCCATTATCCAGGAGATAGAACAGTTACTAAAGGCAGTTAACAGTTTCTTCTTCAAGATGGGTTGCTCAGACTGATTCCAGGTAGGGGTGTGCGTGTGCATAAGTGTAAGCATAGTTGCAGTGGCTAGAAGGTGTTCCGCTAGCGGTATCCATCGGTGGGGTCTGCAGTGCCTCCTCATAGTTGCATCTTCATGGTACCATATATAGGGCCCTGCTGACCTACCGCTTCTTCAGCTCCTTGCTAGCGGACTCTGGCAGACGGGTAGGCAGATGGATCTTGGAATGGATATGAGCAGCACAATTCGAAGAACAATAGTTAAAAAAAGGTGGGTAACCATTTTTTCTTCTTCAAGTGCTTGATTGTGCTGATTCAAATTTGGGGGACTCCCAAGCAGTTCCTAGGAGGAAGGATTAGAGTTCACTGCATCACAGATTGTAAAACCGCTCTACCAAATGTGGCACTGTCCAGAGCTTGCTATACAATCACATACTGTTCTGAAAAAGCATAGACTGAAGATCATGTTGTAGTTCTACAGATACCCTGGACTGAGAACTGCACCAGGAAAGCTGCCGAGAATGCCTGCACCTTTGTGAAGAGTGCTGTCAAGTGCAGGGGCAGGTATCTGGCAATTTGTAGCATGCTTGGATATAAGATGTGATCCAGGATGAGATTCCCTTCATTCTGTCTACTGCCATGAAAAGATGGCAGTTTTGTCCTTTCGATATAAAGCACATATCTGACATTGAGGGAATGGAGCTTTTGCTCTCAGCTCCTAGCATGCAGCTTTGGATAGAAGACTGAAAGGAAAATGTTCTGGATTTGAGTGGAATTGAGACACACATTTGGAAAGAAAGCTGGTAAGGCTGAAGCTGGATCTTGTCCTTACAGAAGATTGCATGCGGAGGCTCAGATGTCCGGGCCTTATGGTCAGATACCCCCTAGGCTGAAGTTATAGCCACCAGTAACACTATTTTCCAGGAAAGGTAAAGTAATAAACATGTTGCTAGGAACTCAAATGGGGGCTCCATTAATCTTGATAGCACCAGATTTAGATCCCATGCAGATCCCATGGGCTTGAGAGTCTAACCTACCTAGTACTTTAAAATGTGGTATACTAGTGCCAATGGGGCCAGGCTGGTGCTATCAATATCAAAGAGGACCCTTCCCTTCTGACCTTCAGGAGAACTTTGTGGACAAATGGAATGGGTGGAAACACATAAAATACATCAGTGATGGGCAACTGAAAATAGTGATTGGGCCGCATGAGTGGCCCTCCATCTCAGTGGGCTACAGTGGTGGGCAACCTGCAGCCTACTGGTGTTCCACTTATGGTCCACACCCCCTCTCTGCTCCCTTTCCCCACAGCTCTCATGCACTGAGGCACTAGAGCTCCCTACTCTTCCCTTTCCCATCCCAGCACCTTTGGAGTGCCATGAATCCGCTCATTTGTGCTCCATCCCCACTCCTGCCCCTCACTCCCAGAACTTGAACAGCTGTGAACTGCTGATTTGTGGTATTCAAGCTCTGGAAGGGAAGAGGAGGAGCGGGGATGAAGCGTGAATCTACAGATTCATGGTGCTCTGGAAGTGCTGAGAGGGAGGAGGAGGAAGTGCAGGGCTCCAATGCCCCAGTGCACAAGGGCGCCACGGGCTCCAGGTTGCCCACTACTAGAACAGACGTAAGGAAGAATGCGTCTGTGATGGAGTCCAGGCTCTGATTCATGAAGTAGAAGATCTGCAGACACTCAGTGTTGTGTCTTGGTGTGAACAAGACTATGTGAACAATTCCCAACTGTTAAAAGGTGCTATTCATGCTGTCCAGGTGAATGGACTATTCGTGGTTGTAGAAAGACCTGCTCATATGGTCTACCAACTTGTTCTGGGATCCCGGAAAGTAAGCTACCTCTATGGTGTACTGAGTGTATTATGCACAAGTCCCACAACTTGAGGGCTTCCTGGCACAGGGGAGAGGAGCATGCTCTACCTTGTTTGTCTACATAAACCATCACTGTTATATCATCCATCATGACCAATATGTGTTTTCCTTCTAGATGGGCTTGGAAGGTCTTTTCAGTGAGAAAGTAATTTGAATAAAGCCCCCTCCCTTTGTATTTTTCAGGGACCCATTCTGTGGCTCTGATTTTGAGAAGGTGTGAAACCTCCTGACGGAGCAGAGTCTCGTGAGAGGAGTCCCTGAAGAGGGTGGGGAGGTTGGAGGAACTGCAGTGAAGGGGATAGAATAACTACGGCTGACAATTTCTAGGATCCACAGGTCTGTAGTGATTGCTGCCCACTGATCATAGAAGGGGGGCAAACGGTGATGAAATATATTGTGCTCACCTGGTACTGTAATTGGGGGGAGGTCAGGCAGACCCTTGACCAAATTTTCAAACTTGCTGCCCCAAGGCCTTGGTCACAGGAGAGTGGTTGGGGCTCTCTTTCGTTGGTTTCGAGGTCTGAAGCGGTTTTGCTCAAAGGGACAGTATTATTGTTGTCTAGTGAAGGTTATGTCCCTGTGCCTTTGATAGGCTGTGTAGTGCTTTCTTTGGTAAGGGGGAGCATACATCCCCAATGTGCAAAGGGTAGTATTCAAATCTTTGCTGGAATGTAAGTGCTTAATTGGTACCTACAGTGAACAATTTTGCTTTGTTGAATGGCAGGTCCTCTACTTTAGCCTGGAGGTCCTATGGTACTCCTGCTGCTTGCAGCCAAGATGAATGTCTCATCACCCCAGATGTCGCGGTGGACCTAGCCACAGTGTCTGCGGCATCCAGGGTCATTTGTAGCACTGTATGGGATATAGTGTGACCCTCCTTAATGATTGCCTTGAGGATAGGTCTTTTATCCTCTGCAAGATAGTGCATGAGTTCTCTTAATTTTGTGTAATTGTCAAAATCATGATTTGCAGGCAATGCTGTATAGTTAGCGATGCATAGCTGGAAGGTTGATGAAGAGTACGCTTTTCTCCAAACACAGTCAGGCATTGTGGTCCTTGTCCTGTGTATGTGTTTTGTGATGTGGGTTCTTGGACCTTTGATTGTCAGCATCAACCACTAAGGAGTTTGGTTGGGTGCAAGTAGAGAAAGTCCATACCTTTAGATGGCATGAAATACTTCCTATCAACCTTTTTATTGGTTGGAGGGGCCATGGCAGGCGTTTGCCAGACTTCATCAGCTGCCTGAAGGATTGCTTCATCTAAAGGCAGTGCAATTTTGGACTTTGCAGAAGGATGTAGATTCTCTAGGAGTTTGTGTTGTTTCTCTTGGACCTCTGATAAAACTACCTCCTGACTAATAGCCACCTTTTTAAACTGGTCCTGGAATTGCTTGATATCATCAGTGGGTGTTGGGTCATTTGGAATATCCGCTTCATCAGGAGCGGAGGATGAATTATCATTCGGTGCTGTATCAGATCGGTGGACGGTTGGGTCATCCTCAGTCTGTCCTTCCACTAGATCTGAGCCCTCAGATGGGGAAAGTGATGCATTTGAGTGCATGGAGGGTAGTGACCTTTGTGCAGGTATAGGCGGTGCAGTGGAGGTGTGTCGTGGTGCCCACTAATGATGGGGGACCATCAGCTGCGATGAGTGTCATAGTAATGCCAATCAGTGTGCCACGGAGGATGCTGGTAAAGTGGTGGTCTGTATGCCCCATAAGGTGCATGTGCCCTTTCTGGGGAAGAGTGTTGCGAGGAAATATGCTCCCTGTATCCCCATGGTAGGCACTGAATTACGATATGGACAGTGACCATGGTGAGCCCCTTGTTCATTGTGGGGATTGCGAACGGTGGTGTGGTGAAGGCTCAGGAGGGGACAGGGTCCTAGACCCCGTCATGTCCTGGTAGCACTTGTGTTTCGCGACCTGAGGAACAGTGATGGGATGCAGGCTTGTGACCCACTGCCGCGCTGGTCAGCACTTGAGCTGCTGGCATGGGTGTAGCCGTGACCCCAGGGGAACTCGAGTTAGTGTGGAGTACTAGGGGGCGCCTGGAGCTAGCCCTATTGATTTTCTGTGCCATAGGTGAATGTTGTGCCGTAGGTTGGCAATGTGTTAGGGATCTTGAGTGTGCCTGCGGTGACCCAGATTCCCTTAATGCTAGTGCTAGGTGCCCTTTTTGTGGTAGCTATTTTGAGGGCTGTTTCAAGTGCATCTTTGAGCCCGTTATAGAGGAGGCTTGAGAGTTTGCCATGCCTGAAGTGCCTGGCTCATCTCATTTGCTAATTCTTGAGGGGAGAGAACAGGCTGGTGAGGGTCTAGTTTCTGAATGTGTTCTCTAAGGAGAAGGGCTTGGATGTTTGCCCTGAGAAGTTGTGCTCTAGCCCTTGATAATTATGGGGGTCCAGGGCTCTATCCATAGACTTCAAGAGCACAATGAGCTCCCTTTCTTCGCGAGCTCTGGTTCTGAGGTACGTGTGTCCCCCAAACAACGTATACATTCGCTGTGGGCATTCTCGGCATTTGCTGTATCTTTTCTCCATAGGAGAATCTGGCATGCCTCCGAGAAGTTATATGTAGCTGTACAAGCAGCTGAGACTGCTTGTGGGTCACCAGTTTGCTGCTGTGCCACAGTAAATGCTGGCGGCGGCAGCTTTTTTTTTCTTCTTCTTCTGTGTAAAAGGAAGGTAAGTCCTGAGTGCCTCAGGACTATCTAAGCTAGTAAGGTGTGGTTCTGCTTTGTCCGACAGAGCACGCTGAGGAGGAGAAAACTGAGCTCCATCTACGGCCAAGGATGCTGAAGAAGGAACTGAGGAGAAGCAGGCTGCACATGCTACTTCAAAGGCGGGAGCGCTGCTCACTGCTCACACACGCGCAGCCCACCCAATCACTGCTCTTGAAGTGTCCTATCTGTGGTGCCAGGACGAGCCTGACACCAACTATGGAGCATCCACAGGGACATCACTTGAAGAACCACCAGCTTTTTATTCTGGATGTTTTCACCTGATGTAGCTACTTTCATTGAAGTTCCACAGTCACATAATCTTTGTTTTTCTGATTAACTACATACCTTAACTCTGTCTCTTAAGTTTTGACCAAATACAAATGCTTGCTGTGCATTGTGCTCTGATTTCTCTCCATTTTCATCCTCTGAAGTATTAGACTCATTTTTCTGGCATTCTATTACCTAAAGACAAAAAAGGAGAAAAATTAGGTTTAGAAAAATTAAAATCAATTTGCTGAAATTTTTTTTAAAAAACAAGCTTTTTCATTTCCAATAATTTTCATTAATGCTATGAATTAGGAACATATCAGAGAATCATAGAAGATGAGGGTTTCAAGAGATCCTCTAGTTCAACTGCCTGCTCAAAGCACGACCACCCATAACTAAATCATTCCAGCCTGAACTTTGTCAAGCCAGGCCTTAAAAACCTCCAAGAACAGAGGTTCCATCACCACCCTAGCTAACCCATTCCAGTGCTTCAGCACATTTTCTAGTGAAGTAGTGTCTTCTAATATCCAACCTAAAACTCCTATACTGCAACTTAAGATTATTGCTCCTTGTTCTGTCATCTGCTGCTACTGAGAATAGCCTGGCTACATCCTCTTTAGATCCCCCTTCAAGTACTTTAAGGATGCTCTCAAATGCCCCCCCTCCTCCCCTCCACACACACTTTTCTTCTGCAGACTAAATGAGCCCAGTTCCCTCAGCCTCTCCTCATAAGTCATATGCCCCAGCCCCCTAATAATTTGTTGCCCTCTGTTGGAGCTCTCCAATTTGTACACATCCTTTCTGTAGTAGGGAAACCAAAACTAGACACAATATTCCAGATGTGGCCTCACTAATGACAAATAGAGGCAAATAACTCTGCTCAGTCTGCTGGAAATACTCCTTCTAACATAGCTCAATATGCCATAAGCCTTCTTGGTGATAAGAGCACACTGTTGACTTATACCCAGCTTCTCATCTACTGTAATCCCCAGGTCCTTTTCTGCAGAACTGCTACATAAGCCAGTTGGTCCGTAGCCTGTAGCAGTGCCTGAGAAGTGCAGGACTCTGCTCTTCTTCTTGTTGAGCATCCGATTTCTTTTGTCCCACTCCTCCAATGTGTCTAGAACATACCCTCCAGCATATCTACCTCTCCCCCCAGTTTAATGTCATCTGTGAATTTTCTGAGCATGTAATCCATCCCATCATCCAGATCATTAATGAAGATACTGCACAAAACCGGCCCCAGGACCGACCCATGGGGCACTCTGCTCAATACCAGTTGCCAACTAGACATTGAGCCATTGAATACTACCCTTTGAGCCAGATGATCTAGCCAGCTTTCTATCCAAGGTGTAGTCCTTTTATCCAATCCATTCTTTCATTTGTTGGCGAGAATATTGTGGGAGACTGTATCAAAAACTTTATTAAAGTTAAGGTATATTATGTCCACTGCTTTTCCCATAGCCACAGAACCAGTTACCTCATCCTAGAAGGCAATCAGATTGGTCAGGCATGACTTGCTCTTGGTGAATACATGTTAACCGTTCCTGATCATCCGGGGCAGGGGCCGCCCATGTGCCCAGGGCCAGCACCGGCATTTGCCATGACCCCAGGGCAGGAGCCGCCCATGCGCCACGTGCCCAGGGGTGGGGCTGGCCCCGATCACTCGGCGGGTGCACAGAAATGGCCCGGCGGGTGCCATGGCGCCTGCGGGCACCGCGTTGGGGACCACTGATCTAGTGAGCTTTCTAGCCACATTATAGTCCATTCATCAAATAAGTTATTTAGTTTGCTGGCAAGAATGCTGTGGGAGATCTTATCAAAAATCATGTTACATTAAGGTATTTCATATACATCACTTTGCCCATATCCACAGAGCCAGTTATTTCATCATAGAAGGCAATTAAGTTGGCCAGGCATGACTTGCCCTTGGTGAATCCGTGCCAACTATTCCTGATCACCTCTCCTCCAAGGGTTTTTAATTTTGCTACTCTGCAGCTAAGGTAATCAATCTGCCCCTCCCCTTTGCAAGTCCTGGGAATTTTAAATTCCATTTCCTGCTTACTGGCTCAGCATGGAGAGATCTCAAGGCATCTTCCCAGGTGATCATGGCTGGCTATGGGACCAAAAACTCTCCTGCTTGGACCACCAGAGCTGTTGGATCTGATCAGTGTATGGGGAAAAGTCTATTCAGTCCCAGCTGTTAGTGAACCATAGGAACTGGGAAAAGTATGAGGAAATTTCTCAAGGCTTGTGCAAAAAAGGCTATGATTGGCACACTTTGCAGCACAGAGCAAAAATAAAGCAGCTGAGGCAGGCTTATAAGGCGAGGGAGGCAAACAATAACTCCAGTGCTGCATGAAAGACCTGCTGTTTCTATAAGGAGCTGGATGCTATCTTCGGTAGTCATTCCACCTCCATCACCAAGAGCCCCATGAATACTTTGGTGGACAGAGAGGCAGCAGAAAGAGGATCTAACCTGGAGGATAAAGTAATTGATGAAGAGGTTGAGCTAGACAAGGATGTGGCGTTCCGAGAAGGGTTGCCCCATAGTTTCTGGCTGTCTGCCCTGTTGTCCACACCTGACGTGCAGTCAGTCTCAGAAGGTGCTCTCTGGGGAGCAGGAAGCAGGAGACAAGATGTAGGGTAAGTGGCTGTGGAGTGCCGGCGTGGATACAGAGAATAGAAAAATGGATGACTGGCTGTATTTGTGAGAGCTGACATTGCCGTGCACAGCTAATCGGTATGACCAAGCAGAATGCTGATGCATACTGAGATCTCAGTGGAATCCTCCAGATAAATATTCTGGGAAGCTTCCTGGAGGTACTTGTTAACCCTCTGTTGCAGGTTCCATGGCAGTGCAGCTTTGTGCCTTCCCCATTGTAGGGCACTTAGCCATTCTGCAAATGACACGTCCTGGGACCAAAGAGACACATAGATGAGCTCCATATGGAGCAGGGTGAAAGCCAAAGGCACATAAGAGGTGCACCCTGGTTGCCCGGCTTACCCTCAGCAGTGAGATGCCTGCTAGAATGATACTCACCTGTGGGAAAGTGTGGGATAGTTTTAGAATGAGTTCCCTGCAAAGCTGCTCCACATGCCCTGCAATGATTACATTCTTTTGTCTGTGTGCACAATCCCAGCCCCCCAAACCCAGCACTCACCATGCTTTGGGTGCTTGCAAAATACGTGCCTGACAATGGTCAGTGATATGTGGCAAAAGGTACTGCAATTAAATATTTGATTGCTGCACTAGAATTAAACAAATCCCCCTTTTGTGTATTGTTCACAGCAACGGAGACCTTGAGGTTCACCGCATGCACTCCAGCAGAATGCCTCTGGCAGATAAGAAAGAGGTCAAGATGCAGCAAAAAAGTTACGTTAGGGAGGTTCTCCAGGAGAGAAAAAAGAACCAAACATTTGCTAGGGATGCAACTGAGTGGATGAGCAGACAGAGATGCTCAAGCTTCTAATCAAGCTGCAGAATGAGCCGATTCAGGGTTGACCTCCAATGCAGCACAGGCAAGATGCCTTGTCAAGCACCCCTCCTCTCTACACTGACACATTCCTTTTCATTTTATGAGTGTCCTCATGTTCCCTTTCACTCCACTCCATCTCTCAGCTCTGATGATGATTGCTGGACTTACAACTCAGTTGAAAGATTTCACAGAATCATAGAATACTAGAACTAGAAGGGACTTCACAGTAGGACCAAGCACCATCTAGTAATAAAATCTGATTTTATTACTATGCCCCTTTGAAAAGGGAGTTTCAGAGTTTGGCATCAGCTACACAGCTGTCTAAACCCACAGCCCTGATCAGGTCTGGCCCATCACAATCCTCTGGGCTGCCAATGTCCCATGGCTGAATGAGACCCTGGAACAGACTCCTTGCCTACCGTGCCCCACATGCTGCTCAAAGTAGCCGGCTGCAGGGGCCAGCTTGTGTTTGTCTGCATGGCACGCATCCCATGGAGGGGGGCCTCTGTGCACTGCCCTCACCCACAGTCAGTTGTACACTGTGTGTGTTCTCTCTGCATGCTGCACTAGCTCTGGTCAGCTAACTTAGGGTATGTCTACACTACCCCCCCTAGTTCAAACTAGGGGGGTAATGTAGTCATTCGGAGTTGCAAATGAAGCCCGGGATTTGAATTTCCCGGGCTTCATTTGCATGATGCCGGCTGGCGCCATTTTTAAATGCCGGCTAGTTCGGACTGCGTGCCGCGCGACTACACGCGGCACGAACTAGCTAGTTCGGATTAGGCTTCCTAATCCGAACTAGCTGTACACCTCGTTCCTGAATTTTCCAATGGATCAAAATGCCTCTGGATTTAGATCTATCCTTCAAAGTGCTGGCAACTTCCATCTAGTTTTGTCTTATCTGCAAGACCTACACTGAGGTCATTAAAAACACCAGACCCAGAACATATTCCTGTGGAACTACATTTGAGACTTCCCTCATCTGACTCTCAATTTTCCTGGTTCTGATACACGTCACACACCTTAAATGCCATGGGAAAAGACATTCTCCTTTGCATTGTGTTAATTTTAGCATTTTCACTCATTGAGATTGTAAGGAGAGGGAAAATAGACTTTGGGCCCTCATACTACAAAGAGGCTTTAACTTCCATGCATCTGGGATCAGAATCAGTGAAGGGATCTGAAGGAAAAGTTAAGAGACCAAAATGGGCTCAGAGTACTTACAGATCCCAAAAGACAACAGTGGTAAAAGCTTAAACCTCAACATCGACCTCCTGTTCCAAGTCAATTGAGTTTTTGGTAGCAAAGTCCTCTGATTTGGCTCAGAAATACTTAGCCCCTCCATCTGAGTCAGATGCAGCTAAGGATCTTGTGATGGGGCATTTGCCACAAACTGGTTGAGAAAGTGGCCTGGGGAGGCCTGGCAGTAGGAAGTCAATCAGAGAGAGGCTGCAAGAAGCAGACCATCACCGCAGAGCAGGCACATATACTGCTGACCATCTAAATCACTGTCAAACTCACCTGGTCTTGAGCGTCAGAATTTTTCAGTGTTGTGTTATTTACTGATTCTGATGTGACTTCCACCATAGAGTCTGGTGGGATGTTTACACCATTGGTCCCACTGTTCGGAACTGTAATGAGAATGTTATATGCTGAAGATTTAGAAAGCCATTCAAAAGGATATTCAGTTTTCCAAATTAATAAAAAAATGTTAACAATCTGTGTGGACGAGGCCAAAGTCTCCTCATGAAAAAATGGTAGCAATTACTGCAGTTTGATCCTTGAGCTCCCAGACCATGAATTAACATCTTAATGCATTCCTTTATTTTTATTTATATATATATATATATATATATATATATATATATATAAATAAATAAATAAATAAATAAATAAATAAATAAAAATTTGGTACCATTATAAAATGTATTTATAAAATTTTCACACTAAACATTTTCATATTTTAATCAGCCTATAATCTTCCTTAGCATTTTATACGATCAGTTTCATAATGCACTTATGAAGCAAGCTTATGACTCAAAAATTTTATGTGTTTTATTCATCAAGTCAATTATATTTTACATCAGCATACTCCAGGGTCTGTCGCTATTAGGTATGTAAGATCCTGTTTAATCGGATCTTAAATGGATCTTAAACCAGTTAACCAATTAAAGGGCAAGAGCAGGAGGGGGGCCAGTCCAGCTGGCTGAAGCAGCCCCCCCTTGCCTGTCACTGGGCTGGAACATTCCCCCTGTCTTCCCAGCCACATGGCTAACCTAGCTGGAGCAGCCCCTGCTTGCGAAGTGGCTGGACCCACCACAGGAAGAGGCTGTGCTGGAGCATCCACTGCCCATGGTGGTGCCTGAGAGAGGTTGGCGCAGTCTCCTGCCCACAGCAGGAGGGGAGGTACTCCAGCTCCACTAGTTAACCTTAACCGATAACTGTTAAGGGTGAGGCTTACCGATTAACCGGTTAAACCTTCACATCTCTAGTGGCTATGAGACAAAAATCAGATTCATATGCCTGAGATGATACTTCAGATTCAAATGCCAAGATACATTTACTACACAAACACTGAATGACTCACTGTGAATTGTTTCTTATGTGACAGTTGTATGTCACCCTAACGATTTCCAGGTTCAGAGTTCCAGTCAGAGTTTCAGGCCTGTTACCATTTTGGTTTTCTTTCCCAACATCATTATGGGTACATGGTCAAAGTGCATAGCATATTATAGAGCAAGAGAGGAACGTGAATTACCCATTTGTGAAAAAGCCTTGGGCTGTGGTGCTTGCAAAACTGCAGGTCGAAGCACACTTCGTTGCTGTTCCTTAGGTTTCTGGCTTGGGAGACCTAAAAACGAAAGCAAACTTCTCTAGGACCCTCAAAAGTACATTAGCTGCAAAATTCAACATCTAGACTATCTTCCCCTTAAATGTTTCTGAGGCACCCTAAGACTGAAGTGACACAAAGCTAAAATTATATTGTATTTGTTCCCTGGAAAGACATTTCCTGTTTCGGCGGCGCCCCCCACCAAAAAAAAGTAATTTAGAAAGGATTAAGATCACTGTTTTGTTCCTAGTCTTTAAACAGTTTGCATTTGCCACTAAAAGCTACATTAAAAGAATACTGAAGGCAGAATAAAAGCCGGAAAATTCAATTAAAAGCCGAGTGCAGAGAACCTGCATTCCCAACTGTATTTAAAAGCAGTGCCTAGCTCCACACCCTAGGTCTCATCTTTCCCTTCGAATTCTTATAAGTTGTGGAGGGTGAAATACTTTTCACTCTCTGTAAACTGAAACTTACTGAAAACTCTAATATAGCACACTGTTCTATTTAAACCTGACTGGTTCTGGGAGTCAAAGTAAAGTTTTTCAAATACGGTATAACACCACAATAAGCTACAATTCTTCCATTCACTTTTGGACCGTAAAATAAAAAATTAGGAACCTCCTTCCATCATCCAACTGGATCAAATCCAGAAGTCTATGGAAACCCCTGATTAGTTAGGGTTTCTCCTCTGAAGACAAAAAAGGGAACACTTGGGCCCATTAAAATGTTATGAAAAAATTGTCACCTTTAGCATTAATATCTCACTTGAACTGAAAGTGTATCACTTTCCAACGTATCCAAAAAGATGTACTGAATTTGGATAGAGAGTAAGGAAACTGCTAGATATCTTGATTACCTCCATGCCTGCAAACATATCCACATTCTGATTTGCACAAATTGGCTTTTGAGCACTAGAAGCGAGCAAAACAAATCACGAGAAAACAGCAAGCTTTAGTAATATTTTACAAATTCCTGTTTGTACTGAGAACAAAACAGTTTAAGTTACAGATCGTGGCTTCCACTAACAGAGAAAGAAACTATTTTATTTCTTTACACTCCTACATCAATTGTAACAGCACTGTTTCTCCCATCACATATTTACATATACAAAACAATTTTTTTTAAACAAAAACTAGAATCCTTCCAATTTGGAAGAGTAGTTCAAAGAAATCCCTGACTAAGACAAGGTCCTTATTTAATTTGCTTTTCCTCGGCCTCAGAAACCTACCTGCACTGGGTGCCTGGCCATGGATAAGTGTTGGTGGTTTCAGACGGAATCCACTGCTCTTTTCCTCTAGAAGTACAATACAAAATGTAAGAATTTAGATTCCTAGAGGCATGTAGCCAAAACATGGGACTGAGCAGAATGCAAAGAACTGAGCACTCTGAGTGGAAAATGGAGAAGGTACTTTCACACACAAGCCAAAGAGAGCTCACACTTTTCTAAATGAAATATCAACCAGCAGCAGAAATGCCTAATATAAAAAAATGCTGCGAAATGGAATTTTCTTCAAATTGGGGAATGATATTTTGTTTTCCTCAACAACACACACAATCTTTGCTTGGACAGTAAAAATTAAATGAAAAGGGACAAACTAGGAGTTGTTGCCAGATATAAATTTAACATTTTATTGTTTTCAGGAAGATACCACACAATGAAAAATCTGATTAAGTAAAATAATAATTGTACTATCAAATAATTTTCCATTGACCTAATGCAGCATATATGAGGACTGAAGTCACCTTAACTACATTGCTCAGGAGCTGTGGATTTTTCCCATAGTTAAACCAATCTAGTTTTCTGGTGTAGACCAGTCTTCATTTGTTGTGTGGTCCAAGAAAGCACTGCTCAGAGCCCATTTTCTCCCAATATAGCACAAAGTTTACTCATTTTCACAGCGAACAGAAACATACATCCCCACTTATAATATATTCAAATGCGACATGCTTTCCTGTTACAGAAGACCTACTCTTAGTCATGTTCCCAGCCCAGAAGCAATTAAACTTGTAGAAGTAGCCTGTATAGGACATTTTGCTGTGAACAGTCTTTGGTTTCTGCAGCCCCACTTTGGTGATATACAATTTGCTAAAACACTATTACATGAGGGAAAAGATCCTTCTGAAAGGCTGAAAAATTGAACTAGAAAATGAACAACAAAGTAAACCAATGAGTATTACAAGCAGAAAAGACTAACAAATTTGCAATACTATGAAGGCAATTGCTGCTATGGGATGGAAGGAAATATATATGTCGAATCAGATTCTACAAAACACATAGTTTTCTATTTATAAATTATGGCATCAAGAGGTATCTACATTCAAATAAAGGCAATCAAGTTTCATATTTTAGGGCATAAATTAATTGTTCTCATCTTCACTGACCTAGAACACTGCACAATAGATTAAGAGTTATATTGGGGGATTACTTAAATCAATTACCACATGCATTAACGAGGGGTCTTCAAGATGTGTGTCCCTGTAACTGGGCCACTGTAGGTGTCAATGCACACCTGCGCTCATAGTCGGAAATTTATAGTAGCAATGTCTGGTCGGGCCCCGTATGCAAAGTCCCTGTCTTGTGGCACTTCAGATGATTAACTAGCACTGGCCAATCAACGCCCACTCAATCCCTGTACTGCAATCTGACAGAAAAAAGCAGAGAGGAGGATGGAGAATAGTGGACCACCTATAAGGACACACACCTCAAAGACCCTCTGTTTCTGCACAAGGAGAGTAACTTTCTCCTTTTTGAGTGGTGTTTCTGCGGATGTTCCTATTTAGGTGACTTCAGAGGCGTTGCCCTCTGACGGAAGGAGGTGGCTTTGGAGTTGAAGTTGCAACAGATGAAAATACCAAATGACCAAACAGGGTATCAAAAGATGTGTTTGTTGTAACACGTAATGCTGTGTAAACATGTGGGGGTGAGGCCCAGGTGACAGTCCTACAGATTTCTCCAATGGGAACGTTCAGAAATGCTATCGGGGCTGATAGGCTCCCAATAGAATGTATATTGATCCCCATCGGCAGCTGTTGACTATAGAAGATTAGGTTTGGAAGAGAACTCAGGAGGTCATCTAGTTGAACTCCCTGCTCAAAGCAGGCTCAATCCCAATCCATGCTGGATATAACAGAGTTTGGTCCTGCAGACTCACAGGCCCCTAGCGCACAGTGGAGCAAGCACCCAAGAGGAGTCCATAGTTAGTCCAAGCATCCAGCAGTGAGGAGACCAAAAGGATTTGAGCAAGCTGTCAGAGTCTGTAAAAGAACAACCTGAACCACTGGTCAGAACCAATGATATACTCAGGCCAAAGTCAGAACCAGAGCTCAAAGCCACGCCAACAGTCAGATTTAGAGCCATGCCAAGAATTGAATCAGAAATGGAATAAGTAGTAACACCTAGGGTCAAAGAAGTAGTCAGCAGCATGGGCTAGCGTAAGGAAACAAGAACTAGGATCAAAGCATGGTGGCAAGGGTGGAGAACTAGGCATGGTAAAAACAACAAGGAGCAAGGCAAAGTAGCAGGAGCCAGAAACTAGGAGTAGGAGCCAAGCAAAGAGGTAGGGACTTGTCCATAGAGCTATAGGAAGCAACAGATCTTGTGACTCACTGCTCAAACAAGTGATGGGAGGAACAGAAAGCTTTATATCCACTGATGTTGAATTAGCAGTCTGCTGCTAGTCAGCAGGAGAAACATCTGTGGTGAGGCACAGTGCATAAAGCTCCAACTAGATAACACCATAGGCCTGGATTCCAGACCCACAAGTACCTGACTACGGAGATGGCAACAGCCCTTGCTGGTCACCACAAAGAGAATTGTTAAAAGATTAACTGAAAGAGAAATTGTTCTTCTCAAATGGAGGAGTATAAAAATGCATGCGTTTTGAGGGGAAGAAGTGCAAAAAGATGGCTGGGGAAAGGAAACAGATTTTTTCAATGATCAATTTGTTGTGATTTTGTACTTCACCATTCTGCAAATTGTGTATGACAAATTGTGTACAACAGAAACAGTAAAATAGCAATAAGGCTAAGGAGGTAGCAGGTATTATGGAGGCTATAGAAATCACCCTATGCTTTTGCGTTGGGTACCAGCACTCAGAAATTTCATTCTGCCCATTATTAATATGGGCAGATTTGGGAGCTGAATTAAGATTCAATTTTGTACTTAAAACAGGGATTCAACTTCTCTGTCACTAATGAAGAATACGATTCTCTTTACAATTTACTGTGAATACAGAATAAGTTTACTAAGAAATTTGTAAGTAAATTTGTTAAATCAAAATTAATTATTTGAAAATGGGTTCTTTAAGAAAATTAGCACCTAAGGTCTTTTTTCTCATCTCAAATGGTTTCAGTAACAGATGTAATACTACTGTATCTCTTCAAATTACTTAATAGTTAAAATTCACTGAAATCTTCTGTAGAGACTACATCTAAAGACTGTCCTGTAGGGACACCATGAAGATGAAAGACAAAATCTAATTTAACATCATTTATATCTAATCTAGGACCCTGAATACTTAAAAATGTATAATTTTATGTTAATTTTAATTTATAATTGAATGGTTACTGAATGGTGTTATTAAAGGACAAAGTTAAGAATTTACATTAAAATGTTTTCTTGCAAATACAGTGAAACCTTTGTTATCCGGCACTTTCTTAACCAGAAAACTTTGTTAACTGGCATTGTCCTGTCACATCTTCAGGCGCAAAGGCCTGGCTTGGTTTACCATGACTGGCTTAACAATTTTTTATTTAAGTACTAATCATCTTTAACTCAAAATAGAAATGTAGTGTGAGGCAGTTGGTCTCACAAAACTATCAATATTAAAAAATTGAGTTTTACTATTGTCCATTGGTTTTTCCTAGGTTGATGGAAACCCTCAGATAACCAGAATTTTTAGATAACCGGAACACCCTAATCCCTGAGCATGCCGGATAACACAGGTTTTACTGTATAAGAGTAAGTCAATTACCTGAATTTATAGATCTTAATTTAGGAACAAATACAATCTTTAGTCAAAATTACTGATCTGTAATCAAAATCTTAACTCTATCTTAATGTAGTGTTTGTCTGAGAGTCTTCATTGGGAGTTAAATGGAATGGCACTGGACCACAAAGACTGTTTAGCGCATGTGTACAGGCTTCTACTCTACAGCTGGGGAAGTGCTAAAGACAGCATATGCTGTAAATTACTGCAGGAGTGGGCAAAGTTCCATGTTCCAAAGAGAGGAAAGAAATGGGGCTGTGGGAACAGTCTGATAAACTGAAAAGAAAGAAGTAAAATTAAAACCAACTCCTAAAGACATTTTTAAAAGTCACATGATACAGCTACATTAAATTTTCTTTTCAATAATGAAATGTTTATGTGATTTGTGGATTAGATTTGTGACCATACACACCCAACATGACAAGAGGCTATTATGCTAGTAAGGAACAGTTATAAAACCTGGATCATACCACCTTTCATTGTGCAAAACAATGATGCACTGGGAAAATTACATTCCACTTCACCTGAAGTTCAGATAGATTGCAAAGTGGGAACTGTACCTAAACAATCAGTTTATATCTGCAAATTGCAAGGCCTAAAAGACAAGCCACCTCGAATGACTAAAAAGAGCAATCTACTCATGAGTGGACATGAGCTTTAGCAGCTAATTTACGTTCTTTCAGCTAAGGGCATAATTTTAAAATGTTAACTAGCTTGCTCTGGATCACCAGCACAAACCATAACAGCTTGCTGAAAAAGGCAAAGAGATTAGAAAGCTCACCTGGTTCTGAATCAGAATTTCCTGCAGAAGGTTCACAGAAGCTTGACGGCATAAAGACATTGTTCTTTGTTACTGTAGTCAAGAAAAAAGTTACTAAGAAAAAAGTCACACAGGCACAAGAGAGTATCCCTCATTGAAAGTCCCTCCCTTCAATATAATAATGGGTCAGCTGATATGGAACTCAAATAAAAAAAATAAACAAGGTAACACATAATTCATGCCAATCAACGGAAATTTAATGGAAAACAGAGCCTAACAATATTCTTCATACTGTTAAAAGATTTGGTTGATAAAGGCAATAGTGATGATGTATATAGTTAGATTTCTATAAAGGCATTTGACTTCATACTGCATGACATTTTGATTAAAAAAAACCTAGAACAACATAAAACTAACAGGGCACACATTAAACATTAAGAAATTGGCTTAAGAGGGTGCATTTCTAGTGGGGTCCTGATCAGTTCTTGGGCCTACACTGTTTAATATTTTTATCAAATAAAAAGAAAAAAGACCTGGCAGAAAATA